CCCGGCGGGGTGCTGGGAGCCGGGGCCGTGCTGGTGGCACTGGTGGTGCTGGGAGCCCACCCAGCTCATGGCGAGCAGACCCCAGGTGAGCTCTGAGCCGCGGTGTGGGGAGGGTGTTGGTGGGGATGGAGCCCACACGTGCCCTGGGAGGTGCTGGTGTCGGTGGGGGGATGGTGAGGAGAGGACCCCGCTGCCCCTGGGACCACCCTGCTGGCGGGTGAGGGCTGCCCCCAGCGATGCCCTTGTCCCGTCATCTGTCTTCTGGGAGCAGTGGTCTGCGGGTGACACCCAGTTCCCAGACTGGAAATGGGGGAGGCGCACCCCCCTTGCTAACCCCCAGGAACAGCCTCCTGGCTCTGGTCTGCCCTGGCTCCCTCCTGCCCCTTCCCTTCCCCTGTCTCTGTCCCTGCATTTTCCTTTCTCATGTCCCCTGCTGTCCCCACCGCCTGGGTGATAGTCTCCCCTCCTCACAACGCCCCTTGGGTCCCCTCTGGCTGTCCCTCATCCCCAGGCTGAGAACCTGAGACCTGACGGGGTCAGGCTCACAACCCTGACCTGCCTCCCTGCACAAACAGGGTTTTTCCAGGAGCTGGGTGTGGCCGAGTGTCAGTACCTCAATGGCACCGAGAAGGTGAGGTTTGTGCACAGGTACATCTACAACCGGGAGCAGTACACGCACTTTGACAGCGATGTGGGGCACTTTGTGGCTGACACCCCCCTGGGCACATCTACTGCCAAGTACTGGAACAGCCAGGCAGACTTCATGGAACAGAAACGGGCTGAGGTGGACACGTACTGCCGGCACAACTATGGGTTGGCGACCCCTTTCACCGTGGAGAGGAGAGGTGAGTGCCTGGCGGAACATTTCCCCGGGGGACGGGCACGAGCCAAGCCCCACACAGCCCCTGCGCCCTTCCGCGGGGATGCGAGTCCCTTGGAGCCCTCCTAGGCACGTCTAGCATGGGGAGCAGAGGGAGAGCCCTGGGCTGGGCTGGGTGGCCCCTGTGCTCCCCCAGACCCTCCACAGCCCCCCCTCACCCCCCACCGCCCCCAGTTCAGCCCGAGGTGGAAATCTACCCGCTGCAGTCCAGCTCCCTGCCCCAGACCGACAGGCTGGTTTGCGCCGTGATGGATTTCTACCCCGCGGAGATCGAGGTGAAGTGGTTCAAGAACGGGCAGGAGGAGACGGAGCGCGTGGTGTCCACGGACGTGATGCAGAACGGAGACTGGACCTACCAGGTGCTGGTGATGCTGGAGACCACCCCGCAGCGCGGGGACACCTACACGTGCCACGTGGAGCACGTCAGCCTGCGGCACCCTGTCACCATGCACTGGGGTAAGGCCCTGCCCTGTGCGGCATGCGGAGGGGGGGTCCCGAGCCCCCGGTCCTGGTGGGGAGGGGGACGGGGCCCCCCATCCCTGACCCCCCGCTCTGGTCCCCGCAGCGCTGCAGACGGACGCCGGCAGGAGCAAGATGCTGACGGGGGTGGGGGGCTTCGTGCTGGGGCTCATCTTCCTGGCGCTGGGGCTCTTCCTCTACATGCGCAAGAAGGTGAGCGGGCGGGAGACTGCGGGGGGGGGCCCATGTGTCTGTTTTGGGGTTGTGTGTGTGTGAGTGTGAGTACGTGTGTGTGCGGGGTGCCCCTGCTCCCACCCTGACCTTGTCTCTCTGCCTTCCAGGGCGCCCCGTTCCCCAGGCTGCAGGTAACGCGCGTCTCCCCCCACCATGCTGCACCCCCCAGCGTGGGGCTGGTCCCCCCTCTGCTCCCCGGGGCGGCGCATCCCTACGGCGCGTCTCCCCCCAACAGCGCCGGGGCGGAGCCCTGGGCACACGCCACCCCCCATCCCGGTGGTCACCCCCTCTCCTGTCCCCACAGGGCTCCTGAACGAACTCCTGCCCCTGCGCATCTGCTCCGCCGCCCTCCCTCCTCTGCCCGCCCGGCGTCACCTCTGCCTCGCACGGCCCCGTCCCGGAGCCCCACGTCCCCGCGCTGACCCCCGGGGTCACCCCCTCCTCCCTCCCAGCCCAGCCCGGCTTCGCTGTCGCTGCTCCGCACCCCCAGGGCCCGGCGACGGTGGGCCGCGGC